AAACTAACATCTGGCCCTGGTTTTCTTGGCTAGCTCCTTTCCTACATCCTATTGCAGCTTTTCTCTTTACTGTCGCGGATCAGGCCACGTCTCCTAAGGTATCTCACATCTCTCATCCAAAAAAGTGTCCAAGCTCTAAGAGACTCCTTTTGCAAATGATCCCCAGGCACAGCTCTCACCTTTTGGGCTGGCCAGTTTCACCCTCTCCCTCCTAGTGACCCATACCTGGATCAACACGCACGGCCAACTCAATTTCCCTAATCTTTAGGAGGTAGTTACAGAAGAAGAGAACTTTGTCCCTACACCTCAGAACCAGAACTGGACCATTAAGAATAAAGTCATCTTAAAACCAGAGGGGGGACTGAAAGGACAAAGCCAGCCCCATTTGCGATTGTGGCGCCACTTGCCCGAGCAGGCCTGGGACCTTGTTAAACATGACTGACATTTTACTCAGATTCCGAGCTTGTCCCCAGGAATGGAAATTGCTGGAAGCAAGAAGAGAGCTAACCACTCCCCACAGCCACAGGCAGGCGATAACATCGGAACGAACTGCGAACTGCGGCCTCCCGTTACAACATCCCAACAGCCCAGGGGCCACACAGCGGCAACCCCCCCAGCCCTTTTTCAATCCAATTACAGTCCAATGAAAGCTCAAAGCCCCCGCCCCTCAAGGCTGGTGTATCTCTCCCCACGGGCCCCTCACCTTTCGGGGAGAGTGAATAAAAACTCTACACTTTTTTCTCTCTGTGAATTCTTTCACAGCCCTTGTCACCAACCACCTTAACATCCTTGTCTTCCTTTTCTTTAGTTAAAATCACCTCCAACACTCTGTGACTCCTCCTCCATGCCACATGGTCTTTGCGGGACTATCAGTTGAGAACAATTCTACACACATACACACGACAAAAGGGTGCATATTACCCAAACTAGGCCAATCATACTCTTTCTCCAGGAAAACTTCATCTTATGACACAAGAATGAGATCAGGGCAACCGAAAAAAGACTTTACATTTGATGATTCCTGATCCTTGCAGCCCTGGTTCTTGGCCACCAAAGCCTAGCTGTTCTGCATTTGCTATGTCTATGTTATATGTAAGTGCTATGCCCTATGCCTACAGTTCAGTAATCTCCCTTTTTATTCGATAATATATCATGGGCTTCCTTCCAGACTGGTTAATATAGACCCATATCATTATTTTCAAAGGTTGCATGCAATGAGACTTCCATAATCTATTTACTCAGTTCCTTACTTAAGATCGCTTGCTATATAACTATATATACTATTGTAAATAGTTCTTTACTATATACGTATTTCTTTGTTAACTTTTCCTATTATTTCTTTAGGATAAACTCCTAACTGAGGACTTGCTGAGTTAAGAGGCTATGCAAATTTTACATTCTGATACATAAGAGGAGCAATTTAAAATGATACATTAATTTATACCTCTACTAAGACTGAGAGTACACATTTACCTCCATCTTCACCAGCCCTGGGTGAATCCTTATTCACACTGCAAACTGGGAAGTGCCCAAATATTAAGATTACTAAGAAAAGGATTAGTAGAAGTAACCACAACAATACTTTATATTAAGCTTTATCAAATTGTTTCACAACTAGTAAGGTCTAGATTAAGTCTAAATCATATTACCTATTATATTTGAAAATATTTTATCTTCCTTGGCTTGGGCTGTCGTAATAAATATCATAGACTGGAGTGGCTTCAACAACACAAGTTTATCTCTCACAATTCTGGAGGCTGAGGAGTTCCAAATTAAGATGCCAATATGTAGGCTTCATTCTGAGGCCTCTCCTCTTAGCTCGAAGGCAACTGCCAGGTGGCTGCGTATTCACACAACCTCTTCTTTGTATATGCCCTGGGGAGAGGGAAAGCAGCAGGGAGGGGACAAAAGCTCTCTGGTGTCTTTTCAGATAAGGCCACTAATCCCATCATGAGGGCTCCACCCTCATGAACGTACCTAACCCTAGTTACCTCCCAAAGGGATAAAGCTTCTATATGAATTTGGGGAAGACACATTCAATCTATAACAAATGGAACTTTATTTCTGCTTTTAATTTCATTTCTTTAATTACTAATGAAATTGACGATTTTAATGTTTATTGGTCATTTATTTTTCCTTTCTTGTGTCTTATAAATTGGTCTGTTCTGACTCTAAATCTGGAACAGGAAGGGTATGAGATGTCTGAAGCATCCTGTCATACCAGTGAGAAAGCAAGGAAGCTACCACAGGTTATTAGAAACATGCCATAAGGACGTGAAGCCAACATGAATAAGCCTATCTGCCCAAAGATAGGTTAATTTGAGCATGAAAAGGACAATAACTGAAAGGACTGAAATATCACATATGCTAATAGAGGAGCTCATAAAGATGCACACACCCCGAAAGAAAAAACCCTCATCCATCACTACAGGAGGATGCTAGGGAACTAAGTTATGATTTGGGGAAGTAGTAAATACAAGGAAAGAATCAGACATTATTCCCCGCCTTCCTATACAATCTCTATTACCTCAGGGTAAGTCCCAGACAGCAAGCATACAGACCATTGTAACATCAGCTGGGAAACAAAAATCATCTGTATGAGCCACAAATTTCAGAAAGATGTACTATATGTCACTATCCACTTGAAAGGGAAAAGATAGGACCCATAAAGGACATAACATACCTATCAGTTTTATCTCCCATGAGTCCTAAATTTTAAAAAGGAACTGTGCGTTAACTAATTTGTTTTCCTATTTCAATTAAACAAAGATATCTGTAATTTGCTGTGAGAGCTCCTTATCATGAGGTTACCATGGTTGTTTACATTTAATATGTTAAAGTGTAAAATGTTTATAACAAAACACAGTATGTACATATAATTGTGTATTAGTCAGCTTTAAAAGGAAACTCTGACATGTGACAAAATGACAAAACCCTGAAAAAACCATACTAACTGAAATAAGCCAGTCACAAAAGGACAAACACTGTATGATTCCACTTCTATGAGGTTCCTAAAAGTCAGTCAAACTCACAGAGAACAGTGGTCGCCAGGGGCCAGGAAAGGAGGGAATGGGAAATTACTGTTTAATGGGTATTAATACAAAGTTTCAGCTTAGGAAGATTAAAAAGTTCTGGAGGCAGATAGTGGTGATCATTGGACAGCAATATAAATGTATTTAGTGCCACTGAACTGTACACTTAAAAATGCTTAAGATCTTATCACAAAAAAATTTAGTATGTTTAATATGTTAAAATTATTAACTAAGTTAACATTATCCTAGCCAAATTAAAAGAAATTTGACGTTTTAATTGCACAGTCCCTACCATCTCAGCAGCCTCACTAAGGGCAAATATATAATTTCAGCAGAGCTATTGGTAATGTTGAAACTACTTCCCAGAATCCTAAATAGAAACCTATGCATAACTAAATCAAAGCACTGTAACAAAAGTTCTGCCCAATCATTAATGCATTTGATGAATCACATGCATAGTTGGGCCATTCAATCCATGTTCGATCTTTCTTCATCCACAGAAGGGAACAGGAAAGACTGTACTTGATTGTAAACACAGTGGAACAGATGAAGAACAATGTCATAGCTTAGCCATGCACAAGACAGACACTCAATAAACATTCCTGAATGCCAATACTTAGTGAATCTTCAGGAAAACCAAAGAGAAAACCTGGGTGTCACCCTCTGTCCTATACCCCATCTAATGAGAGGGCTGAAATCGGCCTGAAGGAAGGACTCCGGCTCCAGGGGTCTTTCATCACTTGGGATCTCAGCATCGATGTCAGATGGCTCAATCTAAAACAGGTTTCATGTACCAAACATCATTTCATAGGTTTAAAAAATTTTTTTTCTACTTAATAGTTTTGGTGGGAAAAGGTGTGAATAACCAAACTGCCATGCTTATACCTCCATATGAAAACTAGCAAGTTCAACACGGTACCCACGTCTTTTCTAAATGATGAAATCATTGTTTTCAAATATATAGTAGCAAACATGTTGTATTATTATGTCACAGAAAGCAATCCTGGCTTTCCATTCTGCTCCCATGTCTGAAAGCTCCATTGTGTTAAATCTGTGCCCTATATGATCCCTCTAACTCAGTAAATTACATACTTTAACTCTAGAGGTCAACACCCCCTCCCATCACAGGAAACTGCTACTTTCACAACCCTTACTAAGATAAGCACTTAAAATTCTTAAAGGAAATTCACATTCTCTAACAACACTTTCATACCAATTCAGTGCTAGCCTTTTTAAATTGAAGAACTAAACACTAGGTGTGGCTACTACAATTCACTTCTATGTTCATTTCCACGACAGTAAGCTATAAAGAAATGAAGTGTGGATGCCTGAGATCCCGCGAGTCTGAACGTGGCTCTCATTGCACAATGTTGACATCAGCTTGCGAAGTGCACTGCGAGACGGCCAGGCAGGAGGCCCGCCAGGCGGGAGGCTCGGTGGTGGCTCTCCGGGTTGCAGTGTGGCTCCGTGCAAGGTGCCCTGTCACTTCACATCTGTCACAACCTCAAACCAGGCGGTCTGGCGCGGTGGGGCCTGGTGGTGAGCACTCTCCGGGGCCACGGGGCCATTCCCAGCGGTCTTGGCTGCAGGAATTAAACTGACTACTGAGGAACGGAAACCCAAGACACAGAGAAAGAGGTGTGAAGAAAGGGACTCCCCCCCACCAAGAGTGGCATTTACATTCTTCAAAACCTTAGAAATAAATGACTTTCCTTGTGTTTTTTACAAACCCTGTCTACTGGGTATCCTTAAGTAAACCTGCTGAACTACTGCAAAATACCAAGAGGCGGAGTCCCCAAATAGAGGAATCCAGGAAACAGCTCCCTGTGAGGGGAGTTAATTGTCCCCAAGGAGAGAAGTGTTAGAAGACTTCCTGCTTAACGTGGCAATTCAGCAGGTCAGTCGCATCCACCCCACAGCAGGACTGGGTCACCCTCCTTTCCTTCCACAAAGCCAGGTGGCCCTCACCTTTCCACCCTTGCAGAGCTGGGACAGGAGAAAGTAGACAGACACCATCGCTGCTCATTGCCCAAGCGGGTCCAACTTCAGACCCAGCACCATGCACTTTGTCGTGAAGCGCAGGGAAAAGAGGAAGGGTTGATGCTCTGAGCGGAATCCCCGTGATTTGCCAGACCAGGCAGCAGGAGCGCCAGCATTTCCAGGCAGCTGCCACGACAGGTGACCGGGCCGCTGTGCAAGCGCCCCGCTTGCCCGGGTGTCACGGAGGTGGGCGGCAGGAAGGGGACCGAGGGAGGGAGGCAGACGGCCTGGAGGACGACAAGGTGGGCACGGGCTGGAGGGAAATCCACTCCATCCAGACGCCGGGGAGGAAGAGGAGGAGCACAGCCCCGTCTCCCCGGGGAAACCGTTTTAAGGGATTTTCTGGCTCCACAAGTAAGAAAAAAAATGGCTCCAAGCCAAACGCCTCCTGATTTACACACACGCACACGCACACCAAGCTCCTCTTTCGCCCCATTTTCTGATACGCTGAAACAAAAGGCGAAAACAGCTCAACAGCGGGCAGTGCCGCTCGGAGCCCGGGCGTCAGCCACCCTCTCCCCACGCGCCCTCGGGAGAGGCCCCCGAGACGGCCCGCCCGCCGCCCCCCGCCCGGCCCCAGCCCTGCGCCCGGCCCGGGGCGCCGCCCGCCGCGCTCCCACCGCGCCCCCGCCGCGCCCGGCAGAGGGGCCAGGCCGGGGCTCGGGGCCCCTGCGCCCGCCTCGAGGGGACAGGCGCCGGCCCGGCTCGGGCAGGGGGGGCGCCCCGGGAGGCGCTGGGCCCTGTTGCCCACTCGTACGGGAGGACGTTGGGGACAGCGGCCCCTGCCCGCCTCACCTCCCGGCGGCCGTGCGGCGGCCCCGCGCTCCTCCGCGATCCTCCGCACCTCTCAGCCTGCAGCAGCCCCGCGCCGCTGCTGCTGCCGCTGCCGCTGCCGCCGACTCCCCCCCGCGTCTGGGGCGAGTCTCCGCCTCCCTCAGCCACCGCCGCCGTTGGGCCCGGCTCCGCGCCACGTGACCGCGCCACGTGACCCGGAGTGGTTGGCAGGCGCCTCACGGCCGGCCTCGCACGCCCCAGCCGCGAACGCCCACCCGCCCCCGGGCTCCGGGCTGGGGTCACGGCCCCGCCACTCTCTCCTCGCGCGTGGGCCCCGCCCCAGCCGCCACCTGCTTCCACTAAGGGAACCCCAACTCCACGGACCCTCCAACCCCAGTGCACACACACGCCCATCGCGCAGCCCTCATCCCTCACGGCCGCTTCCCAGCCTGGATCGCAGTGGAAACAACTGAACTAGTCTAGCCTGGCCCTCTGACCCGAGGCATCCTCCTGACCCAACAGGAGGCCCCTTAGTCGGGCCGGAAGTGGCTCTCCCGCTGCCTCCACGTGAAAGCCACTGGGAGCCCAGACCCGCCCGGACCGCGAAGCGGCGTGTCTCCCGTGAGACAGTCACTGAAAGATCTCTGGGGTAATAACCTCAGAGCATCTCTTTTTCAGTTCATCTAACGGAGGAAAGGCCCGGCAGCGTCGTTTTAACGCACATGGGGGATAAGAGCTCACCGCCTCCCCCACCCCCATTACATTGATGGCCGGCAGGGGCTGGAAACTTTCTGCCTCCGTCCCTCCCTTTCCGTCGTTGTGCACAAGAAGCAGCGTCGCCGGCTGCGTGGTCTCCCCGCAGGTGCAATTGTTTCTGAAAACAGGCGGGATCCCCAGCCCTTTCTGCCTGATACGAGGCATAAAAAGCCTCTGCAACCGAGCACAGCAGCAGCTCGTGGGCTGGGATCAGAACTTTTCCCTGTCTTCTCCGATTGCCACGTCTCAAACCAGCCTCGGGTGTCAGGACTCCTGCTGTGAATCTCTGGCTGTCAGAAAGGATCGGCAGTTGGACTGAGTGCCTACGTTCTGAAATTCCATGCCTAGGGTTTCACAAGTGGTGGCGAGTGCTACCGAGATCTTTCAATCTTTTTTAAAAATGTGATTTTTAAACTAGCAGTAGTTGCCTCATGCATGTATGCACCTAAGTGTGATGTATTTAATAGAGGTATTGCCATCAGCCTTATTTGATAACAATATAACACCCCTAAAATTAATTTTGAAACCTTTAAGAAATGAAATACATTTAGGCCTTAGAGTATCTTCAACATAAAAGATAATCCTTAACTCAATGTGAGGAGTATTAAGCCTGAACTGAGAGCCCAATGTTATGCTAAACATGGTGGAAGAGAAAGAGGGAGAAAAACATCCAACCTGCAACCCAGGTATGTGCTCTGACCAGAACTGAACCTGCGACCTTTCCGTGTGTGGGATGACGCACCAACTGAGCCACTCTGTCCAAGGCAGGACCTGGAGAAAAATTTTAAAATCTGACCCAAATGTCAGACTTTAGAAATTTACTAAAAAGAATAAAGATGAAAATACGCATTGGAAGAAATTTCTTGACTTAATCTATGTAACAGTATAACAACTATTTAACAAATACCATCAGGTCTGAACAACACAGGTGTTCTTTCTTATGCAAACTGAAAAATAATAACCTTGAAACCACTCTTCCCCTAATACCGTGGTTTTTCCTAAGGCCCACAAGTGTCAAGCCTCTCTTGTTCAAGCACAGTTAGGCACACACACAGCCAACTTCCGGCAAGTCTGTGTAGAACAAGTCTGTGTAGAAAACAAACCTCAGGTTTGTTTTCTGCCTCTGGGGTTTCCTGCAGTGTCCGTGGCTATTGGAAACGTCTTTCGAACAAGTGTCTTCATTGAAATCCTGCTTCCACCACTTACAAAGAAGTGACACCAAGAACAAGGTGGTGAACAAGATGCTTCTCGAACCATACATTCTGCTTCTTTCCCTACCTCACAGGGCTGTTAAAAGAATTAAATAATTTATGTAAGTACTTGATATAGTACCTGATACATAATAGGTACTCCATCAAAAATAATAGTTCAGGTTTATGAAATGCTTACTGCAGGCCAAAAACCGACCCTTGCCAGTTCTTATTTTGACTGTTCTTTCTGCTCTCTGTGACCCTTGAGGGGTGCCTGCCATCCCCTATCTTGCCCACCACCACCCCTCAGGGATCTGTTCTCTCTCTGCCCTTTCAGGGTGAATATGGCTTCCTTAAGATATTTTAACACGATGGCTCATTTATAGCCATCCATTAAATATGTTGTGAATCTACATTTTAAGCTTTAAAAAAGTCTTTCTAATTAGGAAATGAAAATGATTGCTACTCATTTGGAGATCTGAGGCAACTGGGAGCCCTTAGGAAGGAGATTTGGCAATGGGGACCCTTCCACTGGCCTTTGAAATCCCACTCGTCCAACAATTCTCAGTTTTATTTAAAAGACTTTTAAATATTAGAAAATTTGGCAACACATTTGAAAAAATTAAACTAATCCATAATAATGGTTAAATAGTAATCACTAGAAGAAATTGTCTCTCTTTCGTGACTAGGACTATTTACTGGCTGCCCTTTAGCTCTAGGTTCAAGTTTGAAACAAATGTCTTACTACCCTGATCAAGCTCCCAAAACTTCTGAGCGATGTATGACCTTTCTTTGAAAATCATGCTATCTTGACATCTGCCTTGCTTTTGGTCACGCAATGAGCTCAGAGCTCACATTGGATCTGATAGCCATCGTGGTAACAATCTGACAATTAGCTTGTGACGCAAATGTTTTACGCACATCAACATCTGGCTGCGCACCTAGGAAGAAGTGTGGGCCTAGCATGGTGGACGGACAGCACTGCATGACTCCAAGGCTGGGCCTGAAGGCACAAGGCATCAGAAATCACGGCCGGGTGCCTGGGTTGGTCTCTGTAATCCTAGCCCCCCATCATGTTACTCTAAGACATCCAGCTACTGAAGATCCAAACTCCTCTCAAGTCCTCTTGCCTGCCTTCCTATCACCCAGCATCCCTCTTTACATCTCCTCTGCTTCCTGGCAATGATATAATTCAGAGGCCAAAGTTTCTGCTTACTCAAACCCCTCAGCTACGAAGACATTCAGCACAGGGATCAGAAAACTGGGTCCTGGATGTAGGAACATGGAAGGTGTCCATGGCAAAGGAGCTAGAGCTTTTGGGGAATAAGATGGGAGTCTTTTGTGCTTCAATAGGTCCTGAGAGCCAAAAATGCCAGTGCCAGCTTAGGTTTCATTACAAAAAGAGAGCATTCAGGATTAGGAGGAAGTGCCCATGGCCCACTGTACTCTGCAGAGCCAGCTACAGCCAACCGTTTTTCTCAGTTCAGCACACTGCTGCAGTTGCATTTTAAGGAAGATATTAGTAAGTTGCAGCACAACCTAGGAAGGGTGACCAGGATGGTAAGGACTCTAGAAGCTGTATTATAATGTCACACAGTTTTATAAGTAGCTGTTAAAGACAATAGGAATGCTTACTCTGGAGAGAGACAGAAGAATAGGTGGATGAATATGATCATGTGGGCATACTGTTACTTTTTAACTATTGAGCTGCTACTTTGGACCAAGCACCACCCAAATCAGCATGTGGGGGTTTATGGCAGGGGGTTTTTGGTTCAGATAGAAAAGAGACCTTGCAACAGGATGGTCCATCAAGGGAATGGTCGCCTCATAAAGGAGCCTTGAGCCCACCTGTGCCTCTACTTTGACTCTGGCGAACAGGGCTGCACACATGGAGGGTGACGGCACTGTGCCTCTACTTTGACTCTGGCGAACAGGGCTGCACACATGGAGGGTGACGGCACTGTGCCTCTACTTTGACTCTGGCGAACAGGGCTGCACACATGGAGGGTGACGGCAGGGTCCTTCTCAGACACCTGCTTCCTCTTCGCCATCCTGCGGAGTGCCCCCCTGAGCAAAGGTGACACCTGCACCCACTGTCTAGGACCGGAAATACTGCTCAGCTCACTCTGAAAGGAGAAGGAAGGGGAGCATCTGCTCTGCTGTCTCAGGGCCCTCACTTCAGAGACCTGCAGAGCAGAGAAGATGGAACCTGTGGCCTGCACCTGGGACTGGTCAGAACATGGCTCCTAAAAAGGGAGTTTTTATAGTCGTCTCTTTCTCCTCCTCTCTCTCCCCTGCCCCATCCAGGAGGAGAGAGGAGGTGAGTAGGCTGCCATACTTTGTCTCCCAGTCAA